GTTAATTGTCAGTTAATGAAATAAATTTAGTTTTGAAGACTTTACGATTAGATGTCAAAAATAGAAAATTTGTTGCCTTTATTTTTTGTTTAGCATTATTTTTAAAAATAAATATCACTTTATAATTTGAAACAATCGAAACTACACAACTATATTATATATACGAAACTGAATATATAACACTTAAATTATATTTTAAGTTGTACATTAATATATTCAGATATATTATTAAGATTATCTTATTTGATATTATAAATTTGATTAATTAAAATACTCTTTATTTTATATATTATAAAATAACATAAAATATAGTATAACATTATATTATGAAATTATTTTACCAAAGTATTTATAATTAAGTTTAATTTATATTTAAATTACATCAAAAAGTTCTTGATTGTAGCAATTTTTTGGGAATCTACGGACGTAATTAAGCGGTTATTTAGTAGAGACATTATATCTATTTGGTTGTTGCGGCAGTGGTAAGAGCGAATGACTTATAGTTTGTAAAGTTAAATAACTTGAACAGAAAATAGATGTTGTTTTGAAACACTGCAAAAGTTACACTTGAATATTTATATGAATGATCAATGAGTTATTGTAAACGTGCTACGTGAAGTTTAAATGTAACTTTTATTACAGGTATTTGAGTGTACGAAGGTCGAAGTGTTACGTTGATGCAATTTAGAAGCTGAATGAAATGTGATTTCTAAAATAAATATAGCTATTATTTCAAGGAACTTATATTTAGCTTCTTGATATTTTTTCAATACCTCTCCTGTATAATCTGGGCTTGTAAACAACTCTCATTTGAATTTTGTGTAAATATACTTTGTATAATTATTTAAAATTTTACAGTGTACAATAATTAAAACACACATATACACCCACATATGTATTAATGTGCGTTAAGTTATTAAAATATATCTATAGTGTAATAATATATAATACATATTATTATAATGAAAGGTGAATACAAAATTTGCAAAAACTCTTGGAGATGCCGGGGATCGAACCCGGGGCCTTTCACATGCAAAGCGAACGCTCTACCACTGAGCTACATCCCCACGACAAATCTATTTAGAAATTTGATCTCAAATTATAGGTAAATAATGGATGTAATTTGAAAAATTTATTTGTACAAACTAATAATTTCATTTTATCTATATAATTTTGGATAAAGAAGCTTTCTATCACCTCGATGGAAAGCTTCTTTATCACATTACTTTATTTCTCCCATTTCCCTCCAACAAGTTGAAATTATTAAAATTATTAGTTCAATAACTTTTTAATATGATTAAAGGAAAAGGATTTCTATTGCTATCATTGTAACAATTGACATGTTTCCTTACTTATTAAACAATCTATATATAAAATTTCCAATATATATATATAAAGAAAATTGTACAAAAATGTCATAAACGATATGTCCAATAGGGGGGGGGATATATCCCCTAATTCTTTCTCATTTGACCGCCAATGATTTAAATCATAAGACACATGAGGCACACTTCTTATGCCCAAAGTACGATGTTCCCTAAAAATGAGTTATAGGAAATTTGGTTAGGAATAATTAATTTAATCAAAGTGCTATTTTAAAAGTATATTTAAAATGAAACATATTATGATACGATAAAACGTATCACGTTGAAGTTATCAGAGATTTAATTTTGGAAAACTTCTCTCAATCCTCGTAAAAAAGAGAAAGGTCTCGAAAAATACAATCCTTATAAGTGAACGTTGAACTTTTTTAGTTTTCACTTTTATTGGAATAATTTTTCGAAAATGTATTGCAAAATTTTTATTGATAATACTTTATTTATAATTATTTATGAACATTTGATTGTTAATCTTATAATTACGACCATTTACCAAGGTACTGTTGAGACTTATATCAAATTATTAAATAAATAACTTTTATTAGATAAATAAAATGTTTTTCCTCATAATTTAAATAATAAAATAAATATTACAAAAACTAACTTCTTTAAACCTATATTAAATTAAATCTAATACAATGTACTTCAAGATGAAAAAAGAAAAAACTATCCCAAATATTGATTTTTTAAGGAAAGTTACCATTGAAGCCGTAAATCATCAATTTTCTATTGGTAGTCAATTTTATGCAGTTATTGTATTCAATAAAAAAAAATTCCATCATTCAAAATATGCTGCTGTAAACTCGTGCTTACGCTGCCTATATGTAAATACGCCCTTGATCCAACCATATTTAACTTTTATTTATTACAGTTGTTCGTATTCATTATAATGAAAGAAAATGTAAGAATTCAATAAATATTAAAATATTTTTTATTATATTATTAGTTGATATAAATAATAAAAAAAACATAATAAACGGAAATTATTGCTGTAATTGTAACATTTTTTACAAGTTATGATTTGATTTTTAAGTTATGATTTTTACAAGTTTGAACTAGGTTATTTTGGTGTAATTAAGTATATTACACCAATTTATGGTGTTATATGTTTTTTTTATAAATATATATATATTTTTTACTATTCATAATATTAACTATATTTATACTTAAAAAAATTAACATTTAGTTAAATAAATCTATTTTTACCAATATCAATATACGGGGATGTAGCTCAGTGGTAGAGCGTTCGCTTTGCATGTGAAAGGCCCCGGGTTCGATCCCCGGCATCTCCAACTAATTTTTGCATTTTATTATTTTATTTTTAAAACAAAAAATACATTAAAAATTAATTTAAAAAATTACCTAGTCAAATGTTACATGAAGTCTTGTTATAATTTAATTTTTTTTTTATATTTAAAAGTCAAATTAAATTTTAAGTATAATTTTTTTGTTATACATTTATTTTAATGGAATTTTAATATATTATTTTTAAAACACAATTTGTACTTGTAAGTTAACAGGTATAATGCAATATTTTTTACATCAATAATAATTATATCTACTTGTTTCAAGTAAAATTAATTATAAAAGGTCTGTCTAATTAAGCTTTTTTTTTGTAAGTGGGGGCGGTGGTTGCTTTTGAACACTAGCATTAAGAAAAAAATTGGCATTCAAAATTATTGGGTAAAAAAAATATTTTTAATCAGCAACGGGCCAGCACGACGAGGGCGACTATTTTTGATCACCGTGTTAGTCCCTCGGATATCGTGCAGTAGTTGCAGCTCTAACAATCTCATACTTGTACCGTCGACACAAGAGTAGTACTTACACATTCTCGTGTATACTACTTACATACTTTTTTTTTTTATGAATTTTTCAAACGTATAGTGCTGTAGTGTTTAAAATTTTTAAAATAATCTTCAAAGTGTTTTAAACGTGAACGTGGATCCTTCTCAATTTTCGGCTAGAACGGTTATTGTAAGTAATTTTTTATTTCGCTTAATTATTTTATATCATTTTGTTTTAATGTTTATAATTGATTTTTTAAAAAGTTTTGATGATAGTATATAATTTTAAATAAATATTATGTGTTGAAATTATAACCATAATAGTATTATGATTCATATCAATGGCCCTACTTGATAGTATATGAATAATATTAGAAAATTGTAAAACGCACTTTGGCTTAGTTACTTTAAAATAATATTGTACAAATAAAATTTTTAAACTACGCAGTTTTGTATTGATTGGTATTTACTAAGTATTTACAGTGAACATTTCATTTCTGAGAAGTATATTTTATTAAATTAACACGAAGATGTTGAGACGAAAAACTAATGCAGGTGTAAATTTATTTTCAAAAAATACATATTGCGAAATGAGCTTAAGAAAAATATTATTATTTTTTGAATGTTACATTTTGTAATTATTTAAAAAATAAATTTTTGGGGTTTATTCATCTAACTATAATCTTAAATACGTTTAACTTTGATAAATATTCTCATTTTAGTATTTTTTATATTCATCTGCGAATACTTTAAACCTAGTTATTAAGTTTGAATTTTATCATATCTGTACGATACATTGTAGAAAAAAATTATTTTTTCACATTTAGTTATAAATTAGTTCATTGATAACTCTTTAAATAATGTTTAAACAGACGGTACCCATTATATTAGACCAAATTAATCGTTCAATAGTTTTAATTTAATCAAAAATTTGTATTTTATGTGGCATTTCACGTGAGTAAAGAAAACAATTGGCACAGGTCATGTCGAAAATATCATTTTACAGAGCAGACTTTAAAAATACTTAAGTACGTTTTTTTGTACTAGAAATTATCTCCATTGGCAGGATACCAACGACATGTGTTCCATAAAAATTATTAGAAGTGTTTAATTTGTAGAGGTATGTTTTTAACTGTTTATTTCGTATTTTTTTTGACATTTGCAATTCGAATGATTAAGAAAAAAAATTAATTAATGTGTTCCAAATTTAAACTACATTAAAAAAAATATTGGCCATTTCCAATCGTATTTATAATACACGATTTTGTTTAAATAAATGACGTAATGAAGTTCTAGCGTTTTCTAAATATTCTGTCGAACCTCTTTGGCGATTGGCTAAAGTATTTGCAATTTTTACAACATAATATTTGAATAATAAAATGTACTTCGTGTCATGCTAGTCGAAACATTGTCACGTCGATTAAGTGTATATTTAATTAATATGTATTAAATGTTTAAAATTCTACATAATTTTATGAATTAATTATTTGTGTCAGTGGACATTGTTGTTTAGTGGCAATAACTTGATGTATTTATACAAGGAGGTTATTATTAATAATTATTTTAATTAATTTAATCTTTAGAACATAACGCTTATGCCATTACCGAATGTTGTCGTATTACACTACTACAAAGTACAGCGTAAAAATAATCCCACCGTAATCCTAGGAACATCGATATTGAATTGGACAATCACATACAGTAGGCTTCGTATTTTAGCACATATGAAATGTACCAGAGGTGAGTGGAGGTAAACCGGCTTTTGATAACGTACCGTGTGTTTACGTAAAACGTTCCGATTGGCAGTCGTAGTAAATGGCCGTCAGTCTGTCTTTGTCGCACTGTTGTTAACGTGTGTGAATATGAACGAGGAATTACTTGGGCTAGTTTTTTACGTACTCCATCGTTCCGTCGTATCTATCTGATTGAAAAATTGCCGTTTTCTGATTAAATTCTAGTCTCTAAGTTTTTTTTTATTAAAAAATTTTAAAATAAAGATTTTTTTTGTTTTGCTATCCAATAATTCGTCGGCGTAAGTTATTCTACGTATCACGTATTCGTTTATTACCGGCCAAATCGTACGAACGTGGTCGGTATCTAATAATTTCTTATTATTCTTGAACCGATTTATGCGTTTACGTGATTAGGTATGCCGTATTACGGACGAAAGAAGTTTTAAAGGTTAGAGTGATTTACTTTGTTAAATTTAGATTTTCAAGTAGGGAAAATTACACTAAAATGTTATTTTAACAATGGATAAATATTAATAAGTAAATAGTTTTGTATAATTGCATTATTTGTTAGTCTTATTCATCAGTTTGACGTTGTTTAGCTTCATGCGAGTATTATCAAGTAATTATTATGGATACTGATCTATGGAGTCTATTGTTTTAAAATAAAAGTTAAGATATTCAAACTGATGTATAATTATGAAGACATTTTCCTTGCATACTTATTTTATTGTAGGTATTATTTACAAAGTTTAGTTCTATGAATGAGTATTTCCTAATCATCATTAGATTATATCCTAACAGCTAGGTCAATATTACATTACTATGTTTTACAATTCCTTATTTTCATTTCACTGACCTATGTACTATATATTATTTTGTAATATATGTTTACTCAAAACTTGTTAATCCTTAAGTGTACATTTAGTACATTATCTATTTAGTTTGAGATCAAGTATTTTTTTTTGATAGATAAAGGTAGTGAGGTAATTGTTAGTTTTTTTTTTTAAGTTGAAAATATTATCAACAGAGATGAGTTAATAAGATTTGAAAATTTTAAATATTTATAACTTTTGTCATATGTCTTTTATTTATCTTATTTAGAGTGCAATTAATTTTTAAAAATATCTGGTTTATTTTTAGCAAATGTCCATGCTTTTATAATTGAACATTTAATAAGCTTTTGATTTTTTTTAAATTCACATAAAAATTGTTAAAAAAACATTAGTAGTTATTATATCTAAGATAAGTAATATGTAAGCATCAAAAATTAGTAGAATATTGGTACAAAAATAATCAAACAAACAATAGTTAAATATAAAATTTTATATAATATTTTATTAAATCAAAAAGCAACTTATACGTTAATATTGACTTGTATTGTTACATCTGGTATAACCTGAAATATTGCTCTTCAAACATTCTTTGGTCTGAGAAATACACTTTTGATTTTGAAATGGTATTATTATTAATTTATAGAAAACTTTGTTTTTTTATTTAATAGAATAATGATAATCAAATCATTTTTATAAGTACTTTCAACACTCTTTTTAAATCTTACAGATATGAGGCACTTTTAATGTAAAGAGTATCAGTGACATTTAATAAGTTCAAGATTGTCGAGTGCAAAATTTTTGTTTCCATGTAAAATTATGTAAAATAGTAGTTGTTATATATTTCTTATAATTAATTTTTTTGGTTTTCAGAGATTTAGTAATAAGATTGCTGTGAATGTTATATTAAAGGATAGTTGTTTTAAAATACCAAGCCGTCCACAATGGAGGACGCACACGCCAAGACCGTAGACGAAGTAAAAAACTACTTTAGTGTAGATGTAGAAAGAGGATTGACTACTGATCAAGTCAAAAGAAACCAGGCCAAATATGGACCAAATGGTATGTATATAAATACTAATTATTAAATAAATGTGGGGAGATATTGGGTTAAATGTTCCTTTTATTAATTGAATCTTTAACTGCTGAAAAGGAGCAACTGTTTGTTTTCACTAAACAATTTATTTGCTACAGTCTAATAGTGTTTTAAAAAAATGTTTGATTAAAATGAACTTTTCCCCTTTTTGCAGTTAATGTTAGTTTGTAATTTAAATTATGTTATTTAACAATATATATTACCTAAATGATTTATCCCAAAAGTTGACTAAATAAAATATTGTGAATTCTTAAGAATTCTGCCTTATTAATTTATGCTAGTAAACTTAGTGTTTTGGGATGTATTTATTTTATTTTATCAAACTCGTATCATTTATGGTTGCATAAATGTTTTTGTTATAAGAATTATTTTACTTTTCTTCTTTAGCTAAATAATATGTACCTAGTACATGATCTTAATTTTATTCAAAATTTATAACTTAAGTTTCCAAAATTTATCTAAATCATCAAGTTGCTCACAACTTATTTTCTTTATAATATATTTATATATGAAATTTTAATTTTATATAATGTGTTAGGTTATCAGTAAGATTTTATTAGTCATTATGCATTTAAATGTTATGTAACATATGAATCTTATTTCATTAAAATGGTCCATATATATGCTTTATAAAATGTTGAGTGAGTTTTAACAAGTGCTTGTAGTTATAGTATAACTATTTCAAGAATTTCCTTGTTATATATATTACTTTAATGAAAGATGAACATAATCTAAAGAGTTAACAATATATATAAACCAGTTTCATATAATATTAGTTCCATAACCTAATATTTAATTGACTATATTATTATTATAATACAAAAATAAAAAATTAATAATATTTAAAAAGTTATAAATTTTTTTATGAATTTTTCTCTTATAAAAAAATAATTTTTATATGGAATGCTTTAATATGCTAAAATGTATATTTTTAGAATAATTTTATATATTAGCTTCAATGTGAAGCTTAAAAGATATTAATTTTACTATGCCTTTTTTGTGTCTGTTACCACTTTTTCTCAGCTCTCATCAAACCGATTTTGATACATCAAAAGATTACAAATTGTATCTAGTTGAATATATTACCCTCAAAAATTGAAAAAGTTCCCTCATCCCCCAAAAATGGGTTAATCCTAAATTAAACATTATCTACAGATTTGCATCAAAGCATTTCTTATGATAGTAATTTCAATTATTGTCAGATATTATCTATATTTGTTCTAACTATGAAACTGTGCTGTGATCCTACTGTACTACCGTTTCTTATTTTGAATTTATTGAAAGTTAACTTTTTTATTTATATATAACCACTTCTCTGACATGAGTTATATGTTTTACATGTACAAACATTGTTTTCCAAATATATATTTTATTTATTTTTATTTATTATAATTAAGTTTTTGTTTGTAAATTTTACTTTTAATTAATATATTTTTTTTTTCAGAACTGCCTGCAGAAGAAGGTAAATATAATTTTTTTATTAATTTTAATTAAGTTGAGTACATTCTGTTATTTTGTATTTATTGTATTGATATGTAATATACATTTTACTGTGAAAACATTTATAATTCAAGGATTGTCATTTCAACTTTTTTCCTTGTATTGAAGAAGTTACTATAAAGTTTGTCGGTAAAAAATGTTAGGCTGTTGGTGCTGGGGGAGACTTATGAAATCTTAGGACTAAATATTGATAATACAAAATTTTAAACTGGATGGGTTTATTAAGTTATACACCTATGTGTAACTTGAATAAAGCAAATTGTGCCATCGATATAATTTGACCATGATGTAAATAAATTAAATTTTGGCTAAATAAATTAGCTAATTATTAGAAAAAGTATAACAAAATATGTACTATGTACAAATCTATCTTTTTCAATATTTAAATATTAATTTCAATATTCAAAAATTTCTTTCTGGCACATTATGAAATCAGAATACAGCTTAATTTAGTCAAGTTATCTTTAATATATATTTTTTATGAATTAAAAAGTATTTATAATTTTTAAATTATTTTTGAGGATAAGGGAAATTATTGAGTAAAATTTTTTGTTTTTATTGAATAAAATTTTTTTTTTTTTAAGAAATACTAATTTACTTATGTAACTTGACTTCTCTGATGAAGATGATGCAAAAAGTGTACAATTCATCGTATACATTTTTTATTTAATTTTTTTAAATTTTATAAAAAATTAAAAAATTTTATATCTAAAATAAGAACTTATTTATATTTTTTTAAAGTTAAATTTCATACATGTTAGTAATTATTAATTATTATCATTTTTAGTAATTCTGACAGTTTTTAAATCTTAAATAATTGTTTCAAAAAATAAAACAAAATAAAATTTATTTAGCTATATTTTGCACGACTGCTGCAGTGTAATATACAAGTATTTTTTTTGTAAAATAATTATTATACATAAAAAACTTGTTTAAAAATACTAGTTTTAGATTAAACAGTCAGCTAATACCCATAAACTTATATTATATTATGTTTAAAAAAAAGAAAATTATAAAGTAGTTGTTAATTATTAAAAATAAATTTCAGGCAAAACGATATGGCAATTAGTCCTCGAACAATTCGATGACCTTTTAGTTAAAATTTTATTGTTAGCTGCAATTATATCTTTTGTAAGTAATAAAACTATTTTTCTTTAATTTTTGTTATATTTTTGTAATTTGTACATATTACTTTTTGAAACTTTAGATATTAGCATTATTTGAAGAACATGAAGACCTTAACGAAACTCTAACAGCTTTTGTTGAACCATTTGTTATTCTACTTATATTAATTGCCAATGCTGTAGTTGGAGTGTGGCAAGTTAGTATTCAATATTTATTAGTAAGATTTTTAGTAATTTTATATCTTTGCAACCTGAAGTAATTTAGTTATAGCTTTGAAGAAGAAAAAAAAAGACTTCATTTTTATGTAAAATTTACGATTACATTTTAATAGTCTAGAGCCAATTAAGTCTTTCCAGTTTTTTTACTACTTGTTTGTAGAGAAACTTTAAAATTACCTTTTTCTGATAAATTATTAAAATTAATAAAATGAGACTTTTAATCATGATTTTTATTATAAGGGATGATTGTTTAACTAGGATATATTTTTAAAAGTATAAAACATATTTCAATTTTTTCTTTTTAAAAATGAATTATATCATGTGCTCTATAATTATTAAAAAAAAATTTGTTTCACTCTTCAATTTTATCCCTTAAAATTGTTTCAACTTTTGTTTTTTTAATGAAAACATATTTTAATCAATTCATGAATAAGAAAATGACTGGTAGTTAATAACTCTACAACTAATATTTTAGGAATTATTAACATTTTAATATAAAGGTTGAAGGTGAAATAAGGTTCTATTTATTTTTATCTTTAAGCATTTATGAAACACAATATTCTTCCTATTGTAGTATGGAAATGTTAATTTTTTTAAAAAATCAACAAAAGTTGATATCATGAGTCATTTTTTAATTTATATTATCTTATTTGGAAGCCCATCAAATATATGTATTTTCATTTTAAAAACTAAAATTTGATATAATTTTAAGGATAGACCAATTTTTTTGAAAAATCAAAATATAGAATATATTACATTCTGATAAGAAAAAATTATTATATGTTAGCTTCGATGCGAAGCTGAGAAGGTATTGGTTTTACAATGATGTGTGTTTTTTTTTTTTGTTTTACCACTTTTTCTCAGCTCTCACCGAACCAATTTTTTTCAATGATACATCTAAAGATCACAAATCGTATCTAGTCGAAGATATTACCCTCAAAAATTGAAAAAAATTCCCTCGTTCCCCGTAAATGAGGGAAACCTCCAAAAAAAATTACAAATTTAAAAATCGCTAATTTTCGAAATTTTTTCAATTTTTTTTACTTAAAATTGCTATAACTTTTTTAAAAATAACCAAATCAATATAATTTTTTATATAGATGCATAATATCACTACCTTTTATTTGGTATATTTTCTTTATAAATCTGACCCTTTACTTGCCCACAGGGGGGATTTAAAATGACAACTTTTTCAACTTGATTTTTGAAAATGTTCCGGAAAGTCTGACACTTATATATATATCTTAAATTAAAGCTAATGTAATACACTTTATTATGCAAAAAAAAAATTTTGGACTTTATTTTATCTTCTCGGTGAAAATGGCTACCAAATGCTATTTTTGTGTGAAAATTTTCGATTTTGTATTTTACATTTTTAACTTTATTATGGTATAACTTTTTGAAAAATGTATGGATCAATACAATTTTTTCATGAGAAGTAGTATTTATATACATCTTTTATTCGACATACTGTTTTTTTAAATCGGACTATTTCCCTATATACAAAGAGGGTTTAAATCTAAAAAATGCATGTAGAAAGTAGAACTTTTTCAACTTAACTTTTGAAGATGTTCCGGAAAGTCTGACACTTTTATATATATCTTAAATTAAAGCTAATGTAATGCACTTTATTATGCAAAAAAAAAATTTTGGACTTTATTTTATCTTCATGGTAAAAACAGACATCAAAGTTGATAAAAAAAAATACGATTTTTGTAAAAAAATTCTTTTTTATATTTTTAACTTTATAATGCTATAACTTTTTGAAAGATGTTTGGATCAATATAATTCTTTTTTTTTATAAATGCATGATGTCTTTACCTATCATTTGGTATATTTTTTTTATAAATCTGACTTTTACCTGCCTACAGTGGAGGATTCAAAATGACAAGTTTTTCACAAAAAATTTACTTTTTCAACTTAAATTTTGAAAGTGTTCCAGAAAGTCTGACACTTTTATATATATATCTTAAATTAAAGCTAATGTAATCCTCATATTGCATTAAATAACATCACTTCATCTCTTTTTTGGTCTTCTTCTACCTCTTCTTCCTTCAATATTCATTTTCATTTTTATAATTTTATATTTAATAATTTTATTTGAGATAGTTATCAATATTATTTCCAATTATTTTAATAAATCTCTAGAATTTCTTTCTGTACTGTAAATTTTGTATACTAAAATTATTTAGTTAAATTTTTCAAAAAATTATAGATCGCTATATAATTTAATGTATTTTTGTTACACTTTTTAAAACTTATGTGAGTTTAAGTAACTTAATATACTTTTTAAAGGAGCAAACTTATAAATAATTAATTATTAGGAACGAAATGCCGAATCTGCAATTGAAGCACTCAAAGAATATGAACCAGAAATGGGAAAAGTCATTAGAGGTGACAAGGCTGGTATACAAAAAATTAGGGCAAAAGAAATTGTTCCTGGTGATATTGTAGAAGTGTCAGTTGGTGATAAGATACCTGCTGATATTAGGTTAATTAAAATTTTCTCAACTACACTTAGAATTGATCAGTCAATTTTGACCGGTGAATCAGTTTCTGTTATCAAACATACCGATGCCATTCCAGATCCAAGAGCTGTAAATCAAGTTAGTGAATATTTTTTTTTTTGTGTTACTATTATTTTTAATAAAAACATTTTATTGCTTAACTACAATTTATTATATATATTTTGGGTTATTACAGGATAAAAAAAATATTCTCTTCAGTGGTACAAATGTTGCTGCTGGAAAAGCTAGAGGTATTGTCATGGGAACTGGTTTAAATACAGCTATTGGTAAGATTCGTACAGAAATGAGTGAGACTGAAGAAATAAAGACTCCTTTACAACAAAAATTAGATGAATTTGGTGAACAACTCAGTAAAGTTATTTCTATTATCTGTGTAGCTGTATGGGCTATTAATATTGGTAATTAGTGTTAATTTTTTCCAAATGCAGGATATATTTAAATATATTGTTATTAGGTCATTTCAATGATCCTGCTCATGGTGGATCTTGGTTGAAGGGAGCTATATATTATTTCAAAATAGCTGTAGCTTTAGCTGTTGCTGCTATTCCTGAAGGTTTACCAGCTGTTATCACTACATGTTTGGCATTGGGTACTCGACGAATGGCTAAAAAAAATGCAATTGTGAGATCTTTACCTTCAGTTGAAACTCTTGGATGTACATCTGTTATATGCTCGGATAAAACTGGTACTCTTACCACGAACCAAATGTCTGTGAGCAGGTATGTAATACAAAAATTTATTTATTTAACATAATACAAAAAATTGTCATTTTTTAGTATAAAATTCTATAAGTTAATTCATAGGTTTTAATTTTATTTTATTATTCATAAATAATATGATAATTCATAGGATGTTTGTTTTTCAAAATGTGGAAGGAAATGATAGTTCATTTACTGAATTTGAAATCAGTGGATCAACTTATGAACCCATTGGTGATGTATTTTTAAATAGTCAAAAAGTTAAAGCATCAGATTTTGAAACACTAAATGAATTGGGAACAATTTGTGTAATGTGTAATGACTCTGCTATTGATTTTAATGAATTTAAACAAGCATTTGAAAAAGTAAATTGAATATATTGTTTATTTAATTTTATAAGTATTAAACTGAATTATAAAATAATTTAGGTTGGAGAAGCTACTGAAACAGCTTTGATAGTGTTAGCTGAAAAAATGAACCCAAATAATGTTTCCAAAACTGGATTAGATCGCAGAACAACTGCAATTGTTGTGAGACAAGATATTGAAACTAAGTGGAAAAAAGAATTTACATTAGAATTCTCCAGGGATCGTAAATCTATGTCTTCTTATTGTACACCTATTAAACCCTCCAAACTTGGAAATGGTCCAAAGTTATTTGTCAAAGGTGCTCCAGAAGGAGTTTTGGAAAGGTGTACTCATGCGAGAGTTGGTTCCCAAAAGGTAATTAAAATATTTAATGATGTGTTTGTATTTTTTGATAATATTAAAGGTATAATTAATGTAGGTTCCTTTAACACCCATTCTCAAAAATCGAATCCTGGATTTAACTCGCAAGTATGGTACAGGACGTGATACTCTCCGATGTTTAGCTTTGGCAACAGCTGATAGTCCATTAAGACCAGATCAAATGGACTTAAATGAATCATCTAAATTCTATACTTATGAAGTAAATTTAACCTTTGTTGGGGTTGTTGGTATGTTAGATCCACCTCGTAAAGAAGTATTTGATTCAATTCAAAGATGTAGAGCTGCTGGTATTAGAGTTATTGTCATCACTGGCGATAACAAAGTACTATATATTTTTTTAATTTGATATTTATAATTATTTAATATGTTTATTATTAATATTTTAGGCTACAGCTGAAGCTATATGTCGTAGAATCGGTGTATTTACTGAGGACGAAGATACTACTGGAAAATCATATTCTGGGCGTGAATTTGATGATCTTTCTATTTCTGATCAAAAAGCAGCTGTTGCAAAAGCTCGATTGTTTTCTCGTGTAGAGCCTGCTCACAAGTCTAAAATTGTTGAGTATTTACAGAGTATGAATGAAATATCTGCTATGGTAAATTTATTATTAATAAAATAAAATTTTATAAATAATGATGAAATGTCTGTATTAATGTTCAACAATAAAAATTAAGACTGGTGATGGTGTAAATGATGCCCCTGCATTAAAAAAGGCAGAAATTGGTATTGCCATGGGTTCTGGAACAGCTGTAGCTAAATCTGCATCTGAAATGGTATTGGCTGACGACAATTTTTCATCAATTGTAGCTGCAGTTGAAGAAGGTCGTGCCATTTATAATAATATGAAACAATTCATTAGATATTTAATTTCGTCAAATATTGGTGAAGTGGTCAGTATTTTTTTGACTGCTGCTCTTGGTCTACCTGAAGCTTTAATACCCGTTCAACTTTTGTGGGTTAATTTGGTAACTGATGGTTTACCAGCTACTGCTCTTGGTTTTAATCCTCCTGACCTTGATATTATGGATAAGGTAATAAATTTTTAAAATTACTCAATTAAAAACAAATTAAACTGAAGTTTTTATTGGATACTAATTTATTTTTATTTTAGCCTCCCCGAAAGAGTAATGAAGGTTTGATCTCCGGTTGGTTATTCTTCCGTTACATGGCTGTTGGTATTTATGTTGGTGCTGCTACTGTAGGTGCTGCAGCTTGGTGGTTTATGTTTTGTGAAGATGGTCCTCAAATATCATACTACCAATTGGTAAATAAGTATTTATATACAATTGTTGAGTAAATATTTTTTAAAAATTATAGTTTATAAGTAAAAAAAAACATTTATAAAATTTGTGAATAAAGTATTTTTAACTAACATACTGATATCAGGTAAGATAGTTTGTATCTTAGTCTGTAGTAATATTAGTGAATTTAATATTTTTGTGTTCATTAAAATTATATATTCTTTTAGACTCATCACTTATCATGTTTGAGTGGAGGAAACGAATTTAGAGGCTTAAACTGTGCTGTTTTCCATGATCCTCATCCAATGACTATGGCACTTTCTGTTTTAGTCACAATTGAAATGTTAAATGCTATGAACAGGTTAGTTAAATTTTATATTTTTTGCTCATTTGTCAATTGTTCATATTATTATGAATTATTGTTTTATTTTTAGTTTATCAGAAAATCAATCATTAATTAGTATGCCACCATGGTGTAATTTATGGCTGATTGGATCTATGTTATTGTCTTTCTCTCTTCATTTTGTTATTCTTCATGTTGAAATATTATCGGTATGTCAATATATATAAATTTTTAAAACTATTTATAATACAGGGTTAAATTTATCTAGTTAGTTACTATTTAGTCATACAATTTTTTTTTTTTGTTAAAAATTCCTAATCCTAATTATTCTTTTGTATGTATTGTAGACTGTATTCCAAGTGACACCCCTTTCAATTGATGAATGGATTACAGTCATGAAGTTCTCTATACCAGTAGTTCTATTAGATGAAACTTTGAAATTCATTGCTCGTCGGTTCACTGATGGTAAGAGTGTTATCACATCGGTGTGGGGTATCGTGCTCATGTGGTCCGTGTTTTTGGCCATCATCATTTACGGACCCTTGTAAAGGACACAAGATGGCTGCCGTCCTTTTTTTGCTTCTTTCCCAAAAATTTATATTTGAGAAAAAACATTCTGATACATGTACAAAATCAAATTCTCTGCAAATTAAACAAATTTAATATTAATATTTGCTTTTTCATATTTTGACACAAGTTCAAGACTGAAAAATTACTAACTCTCCACCTATTAAATAAAAATAGTTAAATATTTTATGTCTAACATTCCTAAAAAATTTTTAAATTATAATTATTATAATATGCAAATCTAACTTGTTTTAAGCTTTAATTAAGCATAAAAAAAGTCTTTATTGTATTATTACCATGATCAGCATTTATTGTTGGGTAAGGATTTAGTATTAATTGAGTTGTATTTGTTATGTGCCTTTGGCTCTGTGATTTTTTTTGTTTGGTAAAGTATGGACTTAATACAGACAAATTAATATATGTCTGTGATTCACTGCCATTATCTTGTTGTTTTTTTATGGTAGTAATTTTTTATTGTAACATCTGGTGTGTGAAATTTAATGTAGTTAAACGCTTAAAAGAAATAAGAAAATTGCATATTGATCAAAAACAGACTTATTCATGAATTTGAACAAAAAGTTATTAATTTTATCAAATACTTTTAGTATGTATTTTGAATTAATCCTAAAACTAATTAATATTCATATTTAAATATGGGTATATAATTAAGATTATGATATGGATTATACCAACAACATATATGTGCACGTGTGATTAAATTTTCTATTTGTCATCGATTATAATATTTTATAATAAGTATTCACTCAAATTTTTATAAAAATATAAAATATACACATCGGAATACATTAACTAAAAATTTTGATGTTTGTAAACTAGAATGTGAATTATTAATATTTCTTGAACAGTACAGTTATATTTTAAATAATGACTGTTCCAAGCTTAAGTAAATATTTTTTTTTTTAATAATACATTAAACTATTATTCAGAATAGAATAACTTTCATGATTATAATATACAAGGTATTAGATAAAAAGAAATTTTGTGAGGTTAGTTCGTAATTCTTAACTAATTTTTCATTTTTACTAAAATCAAGATTGTATAAATTAAATTTTCTATCTGTAGAAAAAATTATAAATAATTATTAATAAATTACAATTTTTTTTTTTATACAATTTTTATTAATACATAATATATGAATTTCTTAATTTTTTTAATCTCATTTATGAAAGATAAGTATAAAAATATTAATATATTTAAAAATTGTAAAAAGTAGTTGGTAAGTTTGAGAAACATCATTATTTTTTATTTTAGGCACAAAGTTAAATGCATCTAAAATAGAAAATATACATATTGTTGTATAAATATGTGAAATTTATTTATTTAAAAAATAAATGTTATAACTGTGTATCTATACACAACGAAGATACTATAAAATTATAAAAATGAGTTTTTGATTGTAACAATATTTATGAATCTCAGGTATTTTTTGTATTTTACAAAAAATATTTTATCTTTTTTTTTTATCAGAAAATAACCAATAAACATGATTTAAACTTTTTATTTTTATTTTCATAATAATTAAGAAAGTAAGATACAATTTTTAAATTAAATTTATTGCAATATTTTTATCAAAAAATGTTTTGAATTATTAATATATATTAATAATAGTATTAAATATGTTGTTCATTTAATACTTTCATATGTAATTGGGCACATTAAAAAAAATGTTTTATAATTTTGCTCTCTATTAATCTATTATCTAAGGGAATGCTAACTTTAAACGAAAAATTTTGGTCTTCCAAAATGTTTTAAAACTAAAATTATTGTTATATATTATTTTAAAACCTTATTTATTTTATTTCTCAATTATTTTTTTGCAATGGCATAGCTAGTGGAAGAGCACAGGGAGTGTTTAATCATTTACAGTATTATTTATATATATATATTAATATATTCTATGAGTCGTTCATCAATTTTATTAATTATTACTTTGACTTTACCAGTGAATAAAGAGTTTTTTTATCCTGTAAGTTCTTTAATAACTTATTCTTTGATGCCCCACTCATTAAGTTAATAAATATTTGTTCTCTGTAATAATGTAAAAATGTTTATAATTAACTAACACAGATATTAAATTTAGATATTTTCTTTGTTATTAAAACTACTACTGACAACTTTTTAACAATCTAGTAAAACAATTTTTTAATTAAAAACTGGTGTTTGTTCACTGGTAATGTTATTCTAGGTTAATTTTATCAGTATAAATATTTTTTTATTTAGCTTTCGTCACAGGGAAAAAATTAATCAACATCTCAGGAAAATAATTACTTATATAGTATGAAAATTCTCATTTATTTTGTTAATTAGTTGAAAAATGTTCATTCTCTGAATTATGTTTCCTGTATCAAAGTTTATAAATAATTAAAACTTCTTTATTAAAAGAAAAAGAATAAGTGGAAAATGACATGAGCCTTTTTACTTTTTATGACTATAGGGGGAAATGTACTGTTTGCACTCTTCTCTTTTACAGTGACAGTCAAATAATTTTATCATGAGAGAAAATGAAACCCCAGAACTTGTTTCACTTTTATAACTATATCAAGATGTTATAATGATCTATTTGATATGCTATAATGATTTTCTTATTATTAAGTGTATTATAAATTAATTTTAGAATAGTTCCTACACATATAATAACCATAACTTAAAATTTTACCTTACAAATTTTTAGGATTAGTATTTTTTTAATTTTAGTTTTACACTTAAATTGAATTATCATTTATAAATTTTTCAAAATATTAAATATATATAATGAAAAGTGTTAAAAAGGATGTATCATTGGGGAAATTAATCTCTCTAATCTCCTCCCTCCACCACTGTTCTGTCACTGAAAAAATTCTAGCTAGGCTATTGTATAACTAATTTCTTTAAAATATTGTTCAACTCTAATTTGCAAAATAATGATGTATTTAAAAGATTTGTTTGCTGCCTGAGTGCTTTTTTCTTTGGTTTGTTGTGGATTATTAATATTAATTTCTTAAATATTTATTATTGTGTAGTGGGTATTAATGCTCAGATACTTTTTAACAAGCATGAGTAGCTTCTAAATAATGAGGTTATAAATTGATAACATTTTTATTGAGGTATATAAGAATACACAATTAGTCTCTAAAAATTATATCCAATATGTGAAACTTATAGGTACTTCACAGTCAAATTTAATCCGTTATTATGATATTGATGGTCAAAAAGTAGAACGAGACAATGGTACTCCAAACCAGGGGTGTAAACCTCACGCAGATTAATTTAGAAGTTGTATTACTATTTTATTAACTGTGAATGCATGTATAATTTCACGATTATTCTTGCAATCAAAGCTACAAAGTTAACCATCTAATTATACATTATGTCTTTATGCATTGAAATTATATTTTAGTATTTTTTAACTTTGTAAATAATGTGTGCTGTTTTATTTTATGGTAATTATTTTAATGAATTTTTAATCATGTTAAATTTTAGCTAATTTTTACTTATATTTAATTTACATATAAAACATTGTAGACTTCGCAAATTTCTTTTATCTGTTTGATGAAATTATTTTTCATAGCATTTATTTGCTCTTCATTTAAATTTTTTATAAATTCCTAATTTTATGAATTTATAATAAAGTTTATTTTACACGAAAATTTTATTTTAGCACTAATCTATCAATTCTAAAAATGATTGTTTAAGCTATTACTGTGGAACTATGTATTAAATATTCTATAGGAAAGAAAAATACAATTTTGGCTTTGAAATTAGATTGTAATTTGTAAATACTTAATTGTTCTTATTTTTTATTACAAAAAATTCAACTTTTTCATAATTAAATTAATAAATCTATTTTTAATTATATGATATTGGTAATCTTAGAATAACCATATAAAAAACAGATGTATACTAATTTCAAGTTGTTAATTAATTATAGTTTGAGTTTTTATTATTATTTTAACAATTTCTTATAATAAACATTTTGTTTTATTACTAAGCAGAATTTTACACAAATGCGTACTACTACCCATATTAATTTGCTTAGTAAATATTAATTTTAAAACTAGTATTGTGATTTAAAATTATTGTTGTTTTCTGATTGACTTTTTCTTCTACGTCACTTCTAATCCTAATTCAACTTAATAATAATAATTTGAAAACTGCTTTTCATAAACTAATTTAAAATGTTTAATTTGGAATGCTGATAGCTTTATTTAAAAAAAATGCTTTAGTTATTTGAATATAGAGCTGTTGTTTTGTATGATCTTAGTACACAGGAACCTACAATTATACATTATTCACATTTAAATAAACCTCATAATTTTGTATATACATCAAAATTCCCTAATTAATTTATCATTCATAATGTTGAAATATTCAAATATCACTATCCAATTCGCTGTTGAGGGTTGAAACCCCCATGGTTACTGCGAACACCTTCAAAAAAAAAAAATTCTATTATGTGTTGTAAGATTATATATTTATGTTATCTACACACTTTAGATGTACTGAAATACATAATAATAACAACGAAAAAAAAATTGCGATTGTTGTTTAACTATGACTAACTCAATATCTTTAAAATTATATATATATGTTACGGTCAAAGTGGGAAATTGGGAATTGTTCACAATTTTTTTATAATATAAATAATCATGCCACATGGAAAATTATCATCAATAATGATTTGCTGAAAATCGTAACAATAAAATTAGAAAAGACCATTAGCGTAATTTGCATGGAGCTTCAGCCTCCATAAAAAAATAATTATATGACGAAAATACAATATTTCTTTTTATTTGGCGGAGAAGTGAACAATTTTTTTATATATATCCTTCTGAGACAAAATTCTAGATACAACCTGATATTAATCTGCAAAATAAAACAGTATTTAAAGCATGACGGAAATTTGCTCAAAGACAAATACATAATACACACGCACTAAGTCAAAAAAACAACTAGACAAAATTTAACAACATCACAGATATGATACACTCGAATTCGTACACATTTAAATATATACTGTCTTAAATTCAAATTGATCGCACTTGATTCAGCCATGTGTGCAATGTCCGGTAAATGTAATACAATACTCAATATCTCACATTTACCGTAGCATATATATATATTATCGTAGTAAAATATAAAAAATTAACTTATTTTTCATTTAAATATAATGTAACTTAACCGACTTGGAAAACTTCAAATGCTGATTAAATAAAAGGTACGTACATAAAGTGTGCTATACATTTTTGCAGATTGATCATTAGTTTTATGAAACATAATTTTTTAATATGAATAAACAGGATGAAAAACTTACTTCTATACAATGCGCAGTGGCGTGCTCGGAAATTTGAGGATATCATGTATAGGAAAATTATTTACTATAGTCTTTAAGTTGTGTCTTTAACACGTTTTTATTTTCATTGTAAGAGGTTTAAATTCATTAACGAGAAATGGTGGGCTTACTCCCCTAAAATTTTTTACCAAAACTAATTTTTACTATTTGATAGCTTTTATGTAAAAAAATGAAATTTTACTCTGAGTAAAGCGAAAAAAGTTTATAAAGCTACTAAAAAATTACATTCTTTTCATCCGCCCAAAATTTACGCCTATGTTTCCCTAAACACTCCTGTTCATTAACACACCGTTATGAATATGTTACTTCTTATGACATGATGACGCAATTAAATATAGAATATTTTAATAAAGAAGATATAAACTTGATTTAACATACCTAGGTATGTCTTATTCAGTAATTACTAAAATATGAAACTTTAGCAGAACAAAAGTTTGAATTATGCGAATATTTTTTTAGTCAATCGCTAAATTTAGTTATAATTTTAATTATTAATGAACTTTTTATAAATTTATGAGTAGGGGAAAACGGGTACAACAGAAACACGGGTGAATAGTAACAAGCTAGATATTTTTTCTCCTGTGATAAATATTAAGTGAGTATGTCACATACTCAATAGTTATAGTTACCATCTCTTATTTTCGTGTTTCGTTAATTTATAAATCGGAAAAAATTGAATTTCACGAACAAAAATAAATTTTCGTTTTTTTTTTTTTTTACTGAGTACGTTAATGCTTTCAGATGGTTATGTAATGTATAATTATATATTACGCATAGAAATTTATTTTTCAACATAAAAAATTAAATCAAGAGACAAGTTACATTTTAATCTAAGGTACATTACAATTGTCCCTAGCCATGAGAACAATTGTAACACTTTCTTTTCATTTAAAACTATTTATAGTTTAACTTGTTATTTAGGTAGTATCATTTAATAATAATTACGTTTCTTTATCAAATGGTAGGGTTAAAAATAAAATAAATTTAGAGCTAATAAAGGAAAAATATTACTTTTGTTCTTGATCTCCCCTACCATGTTAATTTTATTAACTCACAGCTTAATTTTTATCTTGACAACTTTAAATATTATTTAATTAATTGCTTGATGAAAAAATCCTCAGTTATTGAAAGATATATTTTATGAAGGTATGACGCCGTACATAACGTTGAATACTTCTTAAAATACCTTAATGTTGTAACAATTTATTAAAGCACGCCGCAAAACTTATTTTCCCTAAAATCAAAATTGTAGACGTAAATATAAAAATTTAATATTATGTATTTATAAATTATATAACAAATGTATTTTATTTATCAAAGTTTCATGTCGTACAGCTAATATTTTTAAAATTAAACTTCTTATATCACGATGGAATTAATAAAAGTTTTAATATGTCGTACTTAAAAATCTATAAATGTAATTCATATTAGAACTCTATTTACATTATTTACTTTTTTATTAAATAGAGTATAAATTATAGTAACACAAGCATATTTAAAAATTAATAATAGAGATAGCACATTATAGTTTTTAATAGACAAGCTGCCAGAACAAATTTTGATAACCTTATTAAGCTCACAGTTTCTTTGAATTCCACAATGTCTTGAACATTTTATAGTATACAGCATATATTTGCCAATAGAGAGGGGTACGTTCCTTTATTTAACCTTTTTTAAATATATTACCTAATGTAGCATACCTGTATTTTGTAAAATTAAAAAAAATTTATCATATTTTCAAACAGCTTCATGTCAACGATTCAACAAACTATTTTTTCTTCATTTAAAGAGGAAAAGGGAAGCGTATTATTTATAGTATAAAATTAGATTTATTTTTAATAGTATAACAATTTTGCTTTTTTAATTTTAATCACAATTCAAGAAAATTTTTTTTTTGTTTCTTGTAAAAATAGCCTTCTAAAAATTCAGATGATTGCAAGGTAAGATTCTTAACAATTATTTATTAGTTAAAGTTCTTTGAAATATAATACGTGAATTAAAACTTTAATACTTTAATTCATATTACTTTTTGTTTTCAGTTCCTGCCACCGTTGAACAAAAATGGTGAAGCATCAGAAAGTTCTGCTTTTAAGCAAGCTGGGATATGAATCAGTAATCAATATTGATAATTACTTATTTTTAACGTATGGAAAAGTTTTGACAAACTGAATTAAGAAGCCATGAAAAAAATTTTCATTTATTTTTAACATATATTAGACTGTTTGTTGATTTAGTAGTTGAAGTACAAAATACCTTCATTGCTTATTTCTGTAGATATATTTACATAGTATAAGCTTAAAAAATAATTCTATCAGCAGTCTCAATTTATCATTGTGTTCAATAATTAAGGTGTCTGTTATTGTTTTTAAAAATTATTTTACAGCTCAAAAAATAATATTTGCTAATTTGTTCTATCACAGGACAAAATAAAAGATAAAATTTGGTTCCACAAACTGCAAATTAGACTTATTCTAATATCTTTTCAATTTTCTTTAAATATTATCAAGTATTTAAAAATTCTGCTTAGAATGTGGTAGTTTTTTAATTTTCTGGAAGTCATTTTTTTGTTACATTGATTTTTATGAAAAAATTAGGGATTATATGGTAGTATATTATTTTTGAAAACATAATATTTAATAATTGTTTGGCGTAAACATTGCATAATCAACATTTAAATTAGGCACTGTTAGAATGAAATTTTTGTCGAATTTTCATGTATATAAAATTCTTAAGTTTTTAGTGCTGGTGTATGCTTTTAGATTTTTTAGTTGTTACGAATTTGTTGATTTTTTTTTGTTATGTATAAAATTAATGAATATTATTGTTTTGTCACTGATAGAATAAAAAAAATAAAAAATAAATTTGTGTTATTTTTATTTATACATCAAAATACATTTCATGTCACACTAATAGTTATATAGGAAATTTTAATATAATGATTATAAACATAGAATGGATTAATGTATGATTTTTAATAGAATTGTAGTAGTAAAATGGTAAAAGGCTACAAAATTTAAAATTGTGATTCATTAGGTCAAGTATTAAGTATGAATTTTGATTCACATTTTATTTAAAGTATTTATTTTAAAAAGGAATTAATTCAATATACATGAATTAAATTTTATCACTATGTATTTTGGTCAATTGCTGTTTACAATTTAATTGAGTCTTAAATATTTTGAATTAAAATGATCATTAAGTCATTATAAAATATTTTTATCTTGTCAATAATAAATGGAAACAACTTATAACTAAAAAAGTTTATCAATAATCTAAAAAAAAGTGCAACTATGGTAATAATTTTATCACAATTATGTCTTATATAAATCTTATCACAAAATAATACATTTTTTGGTTATGAAAATTTAACATTTCCCAAGTACCATAGCAATAAGAGCCATTCTAACATACATTCCATATTCCGCTTGTCTGAAATATGCAGCTCTTGGATCAGAATCAAATTCAGGGCTGATTTCAAATACTCTTGGTAATGGGTGCATAACTATCATTTTACGCTTAGCTTTGATCATTACTTCAGGTGTTACTACAAAAAGACCACATGCTTGTTGATAACTAATTTCATCTGGAAACCGTTCCCGTTGAATTCGAGTCATATATAACACATCTGTATCAGGTAGAGCTTCTTCAAGGGATGAGAAGTTTTCTTGGGGAATTCCTCGTGATGAAACAAACTGGCGTACAGATGTTGGCATACCTAAATTAGCTGGACTAACATAACGTAAATTCACTTTGTACAATGTTAAAAGCCTGTATGATAATAAAAAAACACATATTATTAGATCGAATTTAGTAAAAAATGATTATTTTTACCTAGCTAGTGAATGTACAGTACGACCATTTTTCAAATCACCAACTAAAGTAATAGTTAGACCATTAACTGTACCGATTTCTTCTCTAATTGTAAATACATCAAGCAGAGCTTGAGTTGGATGTTCTCCAGTTCCATCTCCAGCATTCAACATTGGTTTACGACAATGTCTGGCAGCTTTCTATATTAATGTAACATAAATATTTTTCTTAAGTAAAATTAAAACTATATTAAAAATATTATTATTTTAAAAGCTAAAAAATATTAAAAATATTGAACTCGAAAGGCACAAAAAATTACTGAAAAATCTTGGATATGTATATCGGAAACAATATTCCCATTGTTACTTTTCAGTAATTTTTTGTGGCTTTTGAGTTTAATATTTTTTAGTTTTTAAATTAATAATATTTTTAATATACTTTTAATTTTACTTAATTAATTAGCCACAAGTGATCAATTTTTATAATATAATATTTTTCTTGTATATTTGTAAGATCAAGAATACTTACTCTAACTGCACCTGGTTCTGGATGTCGCATAACAACTACATCAACATAGCCACTCATAACTTCTACAGTATCTGAATATAATAATGGTAATATAATAATTACTAATATAATATTAAATTAAGTTTGAAATCAAACCTTCCAAAGTTTCTCCTTTTTTTACAGAGCTACTGGTTTCATCAATATTGACAACTTTACCACCTAATCTTTGCATAGCTATTGAAAAACTACAACTGGTTCTTGTACTAACTTCATAAAATATTAGAGCCATAACTTTACCCTAAAAATATTTAATTGTTCAATAAATAATTTAGTGTTATTTAACAAATAATTACATACTTTTAAAATATTATCTAATGGACGACCTTTAATGACATAGACTCTTAATGTTTGTGCCAAATTAAATATTTCATTTAACTGATCTTTAGAGAACATATCTACTGATAAAATATGACTATGTGCTAACCCGTGAGTAGGTATAGGAGTCATTAAGTTTAAAACATCTTCAGAAGCTTGTTTTGATCGTTTATTCAAACTTGATGTACTAATTGTTAATAAGCTCATGTCTTTAGATTCACTACCTGATAGATTTCGTTGTCTTCTTAAGTCAGACTTAACACCAGTTACACTTTCAATTTCTTGAGCAACTTGTTCTCTGATCTCAGACATGACATTATTGAATAAATCTATACATTAGAAAAATAAAACATGTTAAAATCAACTTTATAAATACCCTGAAATTTTGTGATTAAAATATTGTTATAAAAAAAAACCCAATTTTTAACACAACTGAATTAGTGTTTTTGCTATAAAATGTATGTATTAATAAATTACAGTATTAGGGACAACATTATTACTATTCTATAAATACTTCTTATTTTAAATTTTTAACTTAATTAAAAATCAATATTATATATTTTTTAAATTATATTTTCAACACATAATTATTACTTGTTAAATTTTAAATTAGTGCCATAGTTAAGAAGAAATCAGAGTTATAGGCATTCTTTCTTTGATTATTATTTTTTTTATCATTTTTAAGAAAAGTTAAAAATGTAGTGTTTATAAGTTTTCTATATATCATATTTTATTTTAAAAAAATTTAACTTTAAAAATCCTTTTACCTTAATTATATAGTGATTCTTTTACACTAGCCAGTCAATATTTCTTAAAATAATGATTATTTTTTGACTTTTGTTAGTTACATATGTATCTCCTTTTATCTGTTATAAAATATTTTTCATGCTCATCTTTTATATTTTATAGGGATTCAACTTTATTTTTTAAATGGCAAAATACATATTAAACTAGTTTATAAAATAAAAAATGATTTCTTCTTCTTTTTCATCGCCTTAATCTCAACTAGTTGGGGTTGGCCATTTTTATTCTAAACTTCCCTTTAACACAATCTTCCACATCTTCGCTCACAACAGCCGTCTTCATATCGCATTAAATAACATTCCTCCATCTTTTTTTAGTCTTCCTCTACCTCTTCTTCCTTCAATATTTATTTCTATAACTGTTCTTACAGCTTATTAAGTAAATGACAGGTCGATAACAACTTTTGGACCAGTATTTCAGAAGTTATTGATAATTTAAGTTAATGACTTGTGGTGAGAAGTTGGTACTGCAATTTTCATCACTAGAAATTTATTTGCCTCGCTCCTCTTACTGCTTAGGAATAATAATATAAGTAACTTTTGAAATATCTTCTTAATTACATCATTTTCATTTTTATAAGTTAGTTAAAAACGTATGTTGCCATTTAAAAAAAAAAAAGTTGACACCTTTATAACAGATGAACATGATAAATATTTTATAACAGATAAATATATATGTAACTAACAAAAGCCAAAAAAAAAAAAAAAATTCGCACAAAATTTATTATTTTTATATTATATATTAAAATAGACATTTTGTGAAAATTAAAAATTTTCAAAAAACCATATTACTAATTGCTCAACATATTTTTAGTATATCATCCAATAATACCACAAAAGAAACTGTGATTAGCATAGTAAAAAAGTTTAATTTTTACTGTAAAATACAAATATTTTATTTTAAAAATTTTAAGTCGAAAATTGACATGTGGATATTATAATTATTATTATTACATGGTAAATTTCTATTAGGCCTTAAGTAAAATAAATATTTAAAAAAAATTTTTTTTGAATAACTTATGAAATTATATCTTTTTTTATAAATAAAGCATAAGCTAAATAAAATATATGATATTCTTGAAAATATTAATAAATGACGGTTGATCAAAATACTTTTTAAACAAATTTTTTTTTACTAAAAAATTCATTTAAATAAAACTATAAAACGTTCAAAATAATACTATTAAAAATAAGTAAATCTGTGACTTAATGTAGGTTTGCTGATTTTTCATAATTTTTAATTAAATTTATACTTTATATTGAAGTATAATTTTATCATAAAACAAAATTGTATTCTTATGTTGCTTTTTGTATAATTAATATAAATTAATTTTTCAATAAAAAAAATATTTAATGATCAATTGTTATTAAAAATGCTTTATTTATAAAAAAAACGATATAAGTTCTGAAGTTTAGTATAAAATTTTTTTTCTACTTATAATATTCATAAATATCAGATAAATTGTATAAAAATGTTTTTTTTTAATATTAAGCTTACTTGAAATCTACTAGAAATATACCATATAATGATGCTATCAGTTTTCGAATTTATTCAAAATTGTTATTATCAATTAAAAATTTTGGAACCAAAAAATTAGTATTTTACAGTAAAAATTAAACTTTTTGATTTTTATATCATAATAATTTACTAAAATTAATTAACAGAGGATGTTTTTTGTTTTTTTGGGGGTATTTTTGATCAAAATATTAAAAATACATTGAGTGACTGGTAAAATTTTTTTTAATTTCAAATTTTCGCAAAATGCCTATTTTAATGTATATAATAAAGTTAAAAGGGTTCTTGTTAAAATTTTAATAATAAACTTTTCTTGATCCACCCTAATATATATAAATTATTATAACTTCATACTATCATCAAATTATATAGATTAAGTTGCTATGTAATAAAAACTTAACCTTAAATCTAGTTAAATGTTATTTGCTTAATATAAATAGACTTACTATGAACATCAGTATGTGGAAGTAATGAAGTCTTTACGTTTAATTCAACTTGAGAACCAGCATCTGCAAGAACTTTACCCAATCTTGTTGGTTCTCGTAAATCTCGACCAAATCCAGGTTGAGCAAGTACTTTACCTTCAATGCAAACTACTTGCCCACGCAAAACAACTCTATGTACTGATCCACGTACTTGACGTCCTGAAAAAGGTGTCCATTTTGCTTTTGAATAAGGTGTTATTAATGGAATTGTCCACTCAGAATTCATATCTATTTCAATATAAGTATCTGGTTGAGGTGTTAAGCCAAGTATTTTCATGGGATTAGTATACATTTTTTCAACTATATCCTAAAAATAATTTATAAAGTTTAGAAAAATATCTTATAAAATGTGTTATTTCATATTTTAAAACTTAACAATTTTAGCTTTAAATTGAACATCTTTAATATCTTGAAGCATATTTAAAAAAATATAACAAGAAACAGACTTTTACAAACTTAAACATACTTTAATAGTCATATGACCTTCATTTACAGCATTTAATAACAAAGGTAAGACAGTTTCAAGACCTGGGAACCCAGGAGGTGCTTTATCACTTAATTTTTCATCCAATGTATGAGGAGCTAAAAAAAAATATTAAATGATAATTATGATAATTTAGTAATTATATGTAAAATAAAATACCATGGTCTGTTGCAATACAGTCTATTAAATCAAAATTATCCCAAAGAGCTTGCTGATCTTCTTTAGAACAAAGTACTGGTCTTACTTGTGATTTGTTAGGGCCCAGTCTATTGATATCTTCATCACATAAAAATAAATGATGAGGAGATACTTCACATGTTACCATAATACCCTATAGAATAAAACACATAATATTTACTCATAAATATTTTTAATAGACTATACTTTTTCTTTTGCAGCTTTGATCAAAAGTATTTCTGATTTGCGAGCAACATGGCAGATGTGAACAGAACGATTGTATAAAGAAGCTAACATTAAAACAGCAGCACAAGTTTGGTCTTCGGCGTGTACAACTAACGGCATGTTTTTGGGCCAATTTTCAAAATGCTAAATTAAAAAATAAATAACTATTAACTCAATTCAATTAAAAATTTTATAATAAAAATGAAAATGCTTACAGACACCCATGAAGAAATGCTTTGAAGTTGTAAAGTGCTAAATGTTTCATTGAGATACATCTTAAGTCCAGCATATTGCTTTGCATTTTGTGCAATTTCTATACTGTTAGTTGTAGATGCTCCTGCATATAGGATATAATCGCATCTAGCTCCAGCTATTGCACACTAAATGCTTAAGTTTTAAAAAACTGATTTAAAAAAAATAGCATGACTAGTTACTTTTTTTGCCAATTCATATGAATTTTGATCTATCACAGTTGGATTAGTGTTGGGCATAGCAGCAATTAATGTCACACCACCAGCTAATGCTGCTGCAGTACAAGATGCAAAATCTTCTTTTTGTGTAGCTCCTGGCTCACGTGCATGTACATGCATATCAATTAATCCAGGTAACTTTAATAACTTTTGAGATGAAATACAATCAATATGGGTTTTTAAAGACGGTTTACATCCTATTCTAACCATTGCCTGAATAATAGTAATAAAATATTAACTTAAGGTATTTGACATAATTCTACCTGAAACGTACTTCAATAAGAAGTTTAGCACATTTAACATCAGTTACTAATGGTACAGAATGTTCTACAGCAAGTCTGCGCATCTGATATCCAGGAGTAAAAAATGAAGCCACTCTATTTGCTCCACTTACCATCATAGGAGCATTTATAACAAAATCAAAATTTTTATTACTCAGATATTCTGCTAAACTAAGCAAATCACCACTAGTAGTATTGATACCAATATTATCAAATCTCCAGTCACATGGTATTACCTATAAATAAAATAATAAGAACAGTAAAAATAATTTCATAAATATAGTTTAATTGGAGTATTAAATTAAACTAACAGTTATTCCTTTAGTGTTATAGTTATAGTAATCAGCTGTTCCACTACTTCCATACAATTTATACCCTAATGCTTGAAGAGCTTTTACACTGTCAAGTAATTCTTCTTTATGTTTAATTTTTCCAATGGACAAAAAAATTTTAGCACCCGGTTGAGGTAAATGCATTCCTGAGCTTATCATTGCTTTTAAGTATGCATCATATCGGTTTTCTCCAAAACAGGCAACTTCACCTGTCGAAGACATTTCTACTCCTAACATAACATCAGCTCCAGCTATACGAGAAAATGAAAATACTGCTACTTTTACTCCAACTCTTCCATCAACACCAGACAATACATCAATAGGCTCTACTTCTTGTCCTATAATTACTTGAGTAGCCATTGCAACAAAATCATGACCCAATGTTTTGGATACAAAAGGAAAAGATCTTGATACCCGTACATTACATTCAATAACTTTAAGTTCATTATTTTTTGCAATAAGTTGCATATTTAATGGCCCAGTTACATTTAGTGATGAGGCAATAGAATGACATATAAATTTAATTTTTTCTAATGTTTCTTTATTAATATCTTGAGGAGGTGTTACTAGGGTAGCATCACCTGAATGTACACCAGCATTTTCTACATGTTCACTAACAGCCATACAAAGTATCTGCCCATCTTTGGCAACTGCATCCACGTCAATTTCTTTAGCATCTTCAAGAAATTTAGAAATAACTACAGGATGTTCTCTTGATACTTCACTTGCAGATTTTAAATATGCTTTTAAATCACCATCATTATGTGCTACATTCATAGCAGCCCCACTTAAAACATAAGATGGCCTTACTAAACATGGATATCCTACTTCTCGGCAAAATTCTATAGCTGATTTGAGATCAGTCAATTCTTTCCATCTAAAATTAAAAGACATTATTAAACATGAAACAATAACTTTTATAATTTAAGTCTTGATACCTAGGTTGAGATATTTTTATTCTGTCCAACATTCTAGAAAATTTGAAACGATTTTCTGCTCCATCCACATTTTCTGGAGATGTTCCTAAGATGCGAGCATTTTGTCTGTGCAAATCCATAGCTATATTATTTGGTAACTGTCCTCCCATACATAATATAACACCTTCAGGATTCTCCAAGTTATAAATGTCCATCACTACCTATTAATAGTTAAAATGTATGCTATTTATTGCAACACATATGAAATAATTTAATACTGTACTTCAAATGATATATCTTCAAAGTATAATCTATCACACATATCGTAATCTGTACTGACGGTTTCAGGGTTGCAATTAACCATAATTGTTTTTTTGCCTAATTTTCTTAATTCACGAAGGCATCCAACAGCACACCAATCAAATTCAACAGAACTTCCGATTCGGTACACACCAGAACCTTAATATTGATAAATTAGTTAAAAGTAGTTTTTAAAATGAGTTTAAAAGTAAGAATTTACCAATGACCATAATAAAATTAGAAGGAAATTCTAAATCACTGCTAGTAGCATTGTAAGTCAAATAGAGATAGTTTGTTTCTGCTGGATATTCTGCAGATACCGTATCAATTTGTTTAACAAATGGTGTAATTCCTTGTTCTTCACGGCGTTTTCGTATGACAAGTTCAGTACTTTGCACAAATGATGCAATTTGTTTATCAGAAAATCCTAAACGCTTTGCTTTTAACAAATGTTCATACGGTACATTAGGATAGTTGAAAGATTCCAGTAAAGTCTGATGCTGAATAATATTTTTCATTTTATGTAAAAACCAACGATCAATTTTTGTAAGCTCATACAATTTGTCAATTGAATAGCCACTTTTTAAAGCAGCGGCTAATACAAAAATTCTTTTGTCAGTTGGTTGTTCCAATTCATTATCATTTACAGATTTTAAATATGGATCAAATCCTGAAAAATTTTCATCGACCATTCTAAAAGCTTTCTGAAATGCTTCTTCAAAATTACGACCAACAGACATAACTTCTCCTACACTCTTCATAGAGCTTCCAATCTTATTAAATAAATAAAAAATAATTACAATATAAATTATATTTAAATTCATATAGTGTTTGCTTTTATCATACTTTTGTTGATGCACGAATAAATTTACTGAGATCCCAACGAGGCATTTTAACAACACAATAATCAAGACTTGGTTCAAAGCATGCAGTAGTAGAAGAGGTTACAGAATTTATTATGTCTGGTAAGGCAATACCAAGAGAAAGTTTAGCAGCCACATAGGCTAAAGGATATCCAGTTGCTTTACTAGCTAGTGCTGAACTTCTAGATAGACGTGCATTTACCTAAGAAACACTTTATATTACTAAAAATTCATGAATTTTAAATTGCAACAATAAATAGTAATAAAGATATCATTAAACCCAATATAATATGTTTTTTATAATTTAATATTTTTTGATAATTGAACGAAATTTAGTATGAATTAAAATTTATTACATAATTTATAAGTAAGACAATTATTCTAAACAATTAAATCATTTTTATAAAAACATTAAAAATGTATTTTTGCTTTAACGAATTACAAATAAACCCAACCAAACCATTGTATGGTAATAAATACCTCAATTATATAAAACTCATCTGATACTGTACTAAGGGCATATTGAATGTTACATTCACCGACTACTCCAAGCTGACGAACAACTTTAATTGCTGTTGTTCTTAATTTATTATATTCTGTGTTAGATAGTGTTTGACTTGGAGCTACAACAATTGACTCTCCAGTATGAATACCTAATGGATCTACATTTTCCATATTGCACACCTATAAAAATATTATTATAAGTAACATTCAGGTATACAAATTTCTGAAATTATCTTCAAGATTTGAAGAGTTATTAAAAGTTTTTTCTAGTTTGATAGCAAAACCTCTCAATATGACTTTCATATCTCCTATAGATGGTACCAACTCATTGTAAAATATTGAACTAGAGAAAATACACTTGAAGAACTGTTGCTTTATTTATTTGGTCACAATTTTTTGTTTTGCTTGAATTCAAAATTATTTTAAAATGTTTTATATAATTGAAAAAAATGAACTTAAAGCCAAATATTACATTTTATAATAAAAAATTAAACAAATTAATAGAATTATTAAAAAAAACTTACAGTTATACAATTATCATAAGCATCACGCACTACTTCATATTCTACTTCTTTCCATCCTTTTAATGATTTATCTAAAATCATTTGGTTGCTATGAGTAAAACATTGTTTAGCCAACACAAGCAACTCTGACTCGTTATTTGCAAAGCCAGAACCGAGTCCACCTAAACTAAAACCACTTCTTACAAGAAGAGGATATCCTAGCTTATTAACAGCTTCTAATGCCTAAAAAAATTGGATATTTTTAATTAAATTTATTATATTATGTAATATATTAACATACTTCATTAATAGACGTAACAACAGCACTAGGGGCAACTTGTTCACCTATTTGAACTACTTTGTCAGCAAATTCTTTACGATCTTCTGTTGCAATAATTGTTTCAATGGATGTTCCTAAAACCTTAATATTATATTGTTCCAAAATGCCAGATTTTTTTAGTTCAATCCCACAGTTAAGAGCAGTTTGTCCACCAAAAGTTAATAATATACCATCTGGTCTTTCAGATTGAATAACTTGAGTAACAAAATCAAGCTCTAATGGTAAAAAGTAAACTTTGTTAGCTAATCCCATGGATGTTTGAACTGTTGCAATATTTGGATTTATTAATACAGTAATAATATTTTCTTCCCGTAATGCTTTTATTGCCTGGGAACCAGAATAATCAAATTCTCCAGCTTGACCAATTGATAATCCACCAGAACCTAAAATCAAAACTTTTTGGACATCCACTCGGAACTTTGGAATTTCTGGTTTTAAATGAGATTGAATAAGGTTAATTAATTGAAAATCAAATTTTTTCATATTATTCACAACAGCATCTAAAAATACATCAAACAAACATTCTAAATCTTCTGGTCCAGGACATGCTTCTGGATGGAATTGAACACTATAATAAAATACATTTAAATAACTTTTAAAATAAATAAACAACTATTTAATATTTCTTACCTGAAAAATGGTAAACTTTTGTGTATAATTCCTTCATTAGTTTTATCATTGGCATTCGTAAATAATGAATCCCAATCAGATTCAACATGATCTACAGCATATCCGTGATTTTGTGAAGTCATGTAACACTTTCCACTTTGACCAAACACACAGGGTTGATTTTGACCCCGATTTCCAAATCTAAAAAAAGAGGTACAAATAAAATTTTATTACATTTTTTTGGTTCAATATTAAAAGTAATAATAAGTTCAAAAGTTAATTTGTACTTCATTTTGTAAGTTTTAAATCCAGCAGCAGTAGCGAGCAATTGATGTCCGAGGCATATTCCAAAAATTGGCTTAACATCAGACTTTCTTGCTAATACTTTTTGAATATTTCTAATTGTATTTTTAGCCATGTCAGGATTTCCTGGACCATTACTTATGAATAATCCATCATAATTTTGGAAATCGTCTAAAGGATGATCCCATGGTACTATATCAACTCGAGCTCCACGTTTTAAAAAACATCTGATCTGATTAAATTTAGAGCCACAATCTACAAAACGAATTCTAGGCATTCCATTTTCATTATAAGTTTTAGGTATCTAAAATTATTAGCAAATTATTTATTTAATTTTTGAAAATATATTTTAAATATTTACTGACAGATATTGAAACATCTTTAACTAAATTAATTGTGCTTGGATCAACTATATTGGTAAAATCTTTATCAACATGTTGAATAATTTTTCCAAGTAAAGTTCCTTTTTCTCGAATATGTTTAGTTAGAGCTCGTGTGTCTATACCACAAATACCTGGTATTTCATTTTCAGCAAGCCAATTATTTAATAATTTTTCACTACGCCAGTGACTTGGCTGATCACAAACTTCATCAACAATAAGGGCTGAAATCCAAATACGATGGGACTCGAACCATCTAAAAAGTTAATTCTATTATTTTCCATTCATTTGTAGGGTGTATATATTTTCAATTGTCAGGTTAATTAATATCAGCTTATACTTAAGATTGGGGTGGTGTCTTTTAGGGATGTACTAAGTACAGTGGCTCCCTATTTTTCTTTTGATTTAAGAGCTACTATGTTTATTGCTATTGAAATTGATAAATCCAATAACTAACAGTAGTAGAAGAGCCTTTCTGCTTCCCTTTTGGAGGGCAGGGAGGCCTAAGTTTTTTTGTGTTCATTTATGTATTTTTTCAGTTAAGTTAAAATTTTTTTATTACTCTGATAAATAAATAGAAAAGCATACATTTAAGTAGAATACATTTTTAATTTAAAAATATTAACTGTAGTTAATACAGTTATTATATAGAAAATTATAGAACATAGTATACTATTAACTTCAAAAAAGAAGAAATTATAATATTTTTTATACTTTTAAAGATATAGCTTTTGACATAATTAATTAATCACCTTGTATAGAGTGGTCTAGATATTTAACAAGTAACTTTTGATCTAGTTAATATTTTGTAATGTTTTTTTATTTTAATGAAAAAAATAATTTTTCTATAAGAACAATCATTTTACACTAAGTATTGGTTATAGGTACTAAATTTTAATGATTTGTATTTGTATATCTCTTCTGTTTTCATGAAAAACATGAATCTACTCATGTATGTAATAACTATTATGTTTGCAAGTGAATATATATTTTTTCTACGCATTGTTGCAGTTATTTTACTATTAAATTGACTTTGGGATCTCTATTAAGATTTATTGGAAAGTGGTAATTTTCTTAAAAAAGAAGTCGATAAGCTATGCCTATGATTACTATTTTAAAAGTTATATGCCTGAAAAAAAATCCTTAGAAATTACTGGTAGTATGTTGCCAACTTAAGGTAGTGTATCGCTAAAAGTTTCTATTGAACCCAAAAATAAACCTTAACTAAAATCAGATGCAACTTATGTAAATATAACAAATGAGATTAATTAATTTCCTCAATTGGGGGAAATGTTCATCATTATAGCTATGGACAAAACAATGCAAGTACTATCAAACAGTTGGCAAACAAATATTTGTAGCGGAAGAAAAATAAATTCAGTTCACAGTAATGTTAAATTGTCAAGGACCAAAACAAAAGTAATATTTTTAAATCTAAAGAAAGATGTGTACAAAAAAATATTTAAATTGCATCTAAATTTAAATGATATTTAACAACTATTACTCTCTAAGTTATTTTAAATTAAAACTTTATTAAAAATGTTATTTATTTAAAACTAAAAAATATTAAAAATATTTAACTCAAAAAACCACAAAAAAATTACATAAAATTTCGTAGATATATATTTTGGAAACAATGTTACCATTATCAAAAAAAATATGTATTCACATTCATTTTAGTAATCTTTTTGTGGTTTTAAGTTGAATATTTTTTGGTTTTAAATTAATAATATTTTTAATATAGTTTTAATAATATTAGCCACTAGTAAATAATTTTTATTATAGTCTCTAAGTTATATGAAAATATAATCATATTGTTTTAATATTATTTTTAGCTTTGATACAAAGCTGAGAAGGTATTAATTTTACCATGATGTGTTTTTTTTTTATATCTGTGAACGCTCAATCTCAATTCTCGCTGGACCGATTTTGATTAACAATACGTCAAAAGATCACAAATCGTATCTAGTCAAAGACAATTACAAATTTAAAAATCGCTAATTTTCGACATTTTTTCAATTTATTTTTTACATAAAACCACCATAACTTTTTTAAAAATGACAAAATAATTTTTTTTTTTTTTATTGTTACCTTAAGTATTTACCAACCATTTGATATATTTTTGTGAACATTTGACCCTTTACCAGCCTACAGGAAGATTTTCAAAATCTTTAAACATATGTCAAATTAAAATTTACAATAAAAACTATAAGTCAAAAAAAAAAAATTGTCCCCACACCTTTTCTTCTATGAGAAAATGCCCGTTGAATTTAACAAAACTTAAAATTATTGGTAAAAATTACTGTATAACATGAAATATTTTAATACATAAAACTGCCATAAATTTTTGAAAAATGAACAAATTAAAATTAATATTTTTTATATTGAAACCTTAGATATTTTTCTTTCATTTGATATAATTTTTTTGAAAATCGGACTCTAAATCTACCCGCAGGGGGATTTTAAAAAAACAATTTTTGTACACAAGTTAAGCTTTTTCAATTTTTGAAAATGTTCCGGAAATTTTGACACTTTTATTTAATCTTAAATTAAAGCTTATATTATTATTTAGAATAAAGTTCATAAAACATAAGAAGTTAAACTTATTTAATTTTTTTGCTTTTTTAAAGTCGAAAAAGTAACTTTAAAATTTGAATTAGCTTAAATTGCCAATTTTATTAATTGGTAAAAGCGACAAACAGTTGCTAAATTGGTAAAACTTGTGTATTTCGCGGTTAGGATACCAGGTTCAAATCCGCCTGTGGTAATTAATATTTTGCATTTTTTTTAAGTTAGAAAAATGTTTAAATCATTTGATTTTTATCTCATTTATATTCATTAACTACAATAAATATCAAGGATCCTATCACTGTAATCTCCCCTCATGAGAAGAATTTTCTTATTCATGTTAATATTATGTTTTTTTTTGTGGCTGCGATTTATTGTTCCAACCCTCAATTAACCTACTTTTTTCAACGATATGTCAAATGATTACAATTTGTATTTAGTTGAAGATATTACCCTCAAAAATTAAAAAAAAATCCCTTAACCAAATAAAAAGTATCTTAAACAGCTTTAACCATACAAACAATTAAAATAATTAAATTCTATGATTTCATGATTTTTAGTTTCACCTGAATTTAACAATCGATTTTTACAATTATAATCAAATTTTATAATACGCTCAATTAAATAAATCTTTTTAACAACTTTTTTTTTCATTGGTTTTTTTAGTTAAAGTAAATCATTAAAATTATTTCAGTTCTGTATATTTCAATTGTAGAATCTTTTTAAACACCAAAAGTTAATTATAAATGATTACTATGATTTATATTTAAATGATCTATTATGATAAAAATGCAAAAAAAAAATAGAGCTTTTTTGATAAATTTACTGTAAATAGTAATTATAAAATTTGCTGACTGCATATTAATCTTAGCAATTTCATTTTTTTCTATTTAATAATGTCACTTTCAAACTTGTAAGTTGAGCTAAAAGTTAAGGTAATAAATTCATTTTTTTTTTTATTATAAACTTTCACTTTAAAGGACGAAAAAAGTAGGTTAGAAATTATTACTTTTAACATATTAAAAATAAAAATCAATAATAATTTGAAAAGAATTAATTATAAAAATTATATAATATATAATTAAAAATATTTAGCTTTTTTAACTATTCACCAATTTCTTAGAATTAAACACTATCTACAGATTTGCATCGAAGCGTTTCTAATGAGTGATTTTAAACACTGTCAGATTAAATCTATACTGGACTCAACTATACCACGTTCCCACTATACCGCGACTCTACTGTGCTGGGTTTTTTATACTAATGTTCCCGGAAATATGTGAACAAATCTTATGTTAGATAATAAAGATTATTAAGTTATATTGGGTAAGAATTACATTTATTTATTTTTTTGCTTGGGCTTTAGCTTTTTTATGAGTTATTATTTTACGTTTGAACTAAAGTTCATTAAAATTTATATAAAATAAGCTAATACTTGATACTTGATATAACGTGCTTTCCCGTTAAGGTCCTAACAGTTGGCTATGCTGTTCCTAAACGGGACTATGCTGGCCTTATATAGAATGTTCAGTATGTAAGGAAACAGAGATCTACTGTTCTCATTATTTGTAGCAATTTACCTGTTTTTTTACTTACTGAACACTTTGTATAATTTTTTCCTACTAAAAGGACAGTTAGGGGTTTTATGACCAATATAATATTGACTCTCAACTAACAGCAATAACAAGTATTTATTTTTATTAAATGTTATTTTAAATATAACCGACTGGATCTCTATAGATATTGGTAGTACCACAGTTAGATGATCGGTGGTTTAATTTGAAACATTATTTCAAAGAAATTTAAAGTTTACTCATTATGTAGAAATATTAAATGTATCACCTTTTAATTCCATATTCATCAATTTCATTGCCAGGAACTCCATAATTTCCAATAAGTGGGAATGTCAAAATTAACAACTGTTTGTAATAAGAAGGATCAGTTAAGGATTCTGGATAACCCACAATGCCAGTTTGAAAAACTATAAAAAGTATAAAATAAATTAAGGACATTTAAATTAAATTGATTACAATAACGAACCAACTTCCCCATCAACAGGTAAAGTGCAGGAACCAAAATTGTAACCTTTGAACACAGTTCCATCTTCTAAAACAAGTGAGCATGGTATACGGGCCATTGATTATTAATATTTATACAATTTTAAGGCAAATATTTATCTTTCCAACAAAAAAAATTATTATATAGTAAATTGTTGCACAGAACACATGGACCAGATTAACGGGACTTAAAACATAACCTCATATATCTTTTAAAAAAACGCGTACTTGATAAGATTATTTGATAAATGTGATTAGTATGGTAATGGTCCTCGTACATTAGCATGGTTATTTAGCTCCGCAATGGTAGGATCACCTTTTGTACCACAAACTTTTTTTTTCAATGAATATTTACTCCAAAGCTATTATTATCCAAAATTATTATTTTTTCTCCAATTAACAATATGTCCAATATATCGCTTGTTCTAATAAATATAATAACCAAAGTATACTTGTTCTAACAGATATTTTTGCCAAAGTTATCTTTATCCCATATACATTTGTCGCAATAAATAATTTGCCCATTTATTGATAGTTCCACGATTTAGAACAAATGTTAATTGAAAAAAATATGATTTGAATAAATTTTTTTTAAAACTATTTTTGCTATATTATTATCACGAACTAAGATAAATAGACTAGACACGAGGCCTTAAAAAGTGATCCGGTTTTGTATTCTCTTGTAAAAAGGAGAATTTTGAAGTAACGGCACCATTTACTATTTGACATGTAGTTTTCCGATTCCCTCACTTCATTTTTTTAATTTTACAATGCTATTCCAGAAAAGAGCTATAGAACCCTTATAACTAGAGTCCGGATTAATATGAATAAAAAAATGTTGTTTTAGTCATTTTAAAAGGAACTATGTTTGTCCAAATTTATTGTTGGATATGTAGTAGCGTAGATATATATTTCATTTTACGTGTTAACTCATATTTTTAACAACTAAACTAACCATAATGGTAATAATAAATGTAGTTATATTATGTTATAATATTTAATTAAGGAATAATTATAATAATAATATATAAGAGTTTTAAATTAAAATTAAGTATCTAGAACTTCTGAATACTCTCTAAAAATGAATCTAATGAGCATAATTTGAGCATCAATAATTAACTTACTCCCAAAAATCAAGATGGAATTTCAGGAAAACTAACTGGACTGAATTAGATTGCATAATGCAATAGATCCCAGCAAAAGCAAATATATCTGCTTTTATTGGGTTTAAAAGTGATAAAACTAGCAAAAAACAAACAAACTTAAGGATTTCCAGAAGCAGTTCAATCCAGGTTGGGACGAACATGTGATCAGCTGTTTTTGGAGTTTCAAAAAACAAAAGATAATATCGTAGCGAATGAGTAATTAACAATTTTATTGTAAAAAAACAGAAGACCTAGATTTTATCCACAATTCAATATAAAGCATGGTGCCTTATGAAAAAAATTGGTAGTTCAAATCATGCCAAAAAAGGTTAACATATCTTAAGACTAAAAATTGTAACAATACATAGGTACAAATTGAGGGGGTTTAAATTCTAGAAAAATATTTATATCAACATTTTTTTTTTAGGGAGGAGTAAATTAGAAATGCCTTTCTAAAAATTTGCGCTTATGTATAAAATTAAGATAGTTATAAGTTAATATATTTATCTGTTAACTCACAATATCGTATTAATCATCGTAATTTACCTAAATATTAATTTTTAGCAATTTATATTTTAAAAGTATAGTTTAACTTTGTTTTAATATCCTAAATTTACCTAATCAAATATGAAAGACGTAACTAAGAGGGGAACTAAAGTTGTTAAAGTACCCTTCATTAGCCAATTATTACTATCAATAGTAAATGAATTAAGCACTAGTAAGATCATGTGATAAGTCAAATATAAAAATAAAAGGTCAATATCCTTTCCAAGCAAAAATCTTGGCTAAACCACCGTGAAATCCGAACCCCTTTCAAATACAAAATATATTTATTAACACGCTTATATTAGTTTCACCTGTATGTATGTATGTATGTATGTTTGTAACTCTCCAAACGACACGCGTTATCGCATATTCCGTCGTCTAGACTAGACTGTCATAACGCATTCACCCCTCCTCACGCCTCGCTCACCACACGACGGCACACTATTCCTATAAACATTTATTTTAGTTATCGTACCCGTACACGCCTGCTTGTCATCAATATTATATATACAGGGTGTAAATCTTTCGAACCATAGTAATGTATGGGCGAGTATGCTGGTAAAGTGTAAAATAGGACCTCGTTTTTTTTTTTTTTTTTTCCAAAATTGGAGGAATTTTGGAATAACCCCCCCGAATTTCTCTAAAATTAAAAATAAATCATACCACAATATTCCCCGCGAAATTCTCATACAAATTGAGTGGTCACTCGATTTTTTGTAACTTTTGCGCCCTCCCCTGAACTTTGGGTTCAAAGTTGGAAAAAAATTTCACATTAGTTTGACCCATCAATTTGTATTGAAATTTCAATGGGAGTCCTGTGATGTAGTTTATTTTTAGTTTAATCGATTAAATAACAAGAAATACCGAAAAAACTTACAAATATGTAATATTTATGCATTTTTATTGCACAAAAAAAGAAGCTATATTTTAAAGGTTATCTAATATTATGTGCAGCTTAATAAGTGACTATTCAATAGCGAACAGTATTTTTCGAACATTTAAATAAACATTAACAAGCTCAGTGATGTACCATATTCTCATTATTGATTAATTTCGGAAAAGAGTAGTGTGCCGATTACATTAAAATAATTATTTCTAATTATCCTATTGTAATAAAGTTAAAAATATTCATTTCAATAGTATAATTGTTTTATTTTC